TGTATTCCCAGCAGTTTGTTTATTTTAGATTTTTTAATTTAGAATTATTTTAAATACTCTCATTGATATAGGGACTATGTGCATTGTTTTGGTGTATCCAAGAATTGGATTAGAGATAGTAAATAGCTAAGTGGATGCACATTCACTGTAAACTGAGAGTGGAGAAACCCAGAACAAGATCAAAAAAATGTACTTCTTGCTCTCTAGATATTATTGTTGTGGTTTTGAAACATTTACACATGAGATGCTGAGAGTGTGCTGCCACCTTGTCATTCTTGGCACTTTGTCAAACAACACTTTTCAACATAGGTAAATGAAACAGGGAAATTTTCTTGGGATTATTATGTTAGGGAAGAGTCTAAGGAAAGCTAGGATGCTACTCTGTAATAGGCAGAGGAAAAGAAGACAATATTCTCGTAAATCCAGCTGAGGATTGCACTGAAGAAGGAAGAGGTCAAAATAGGGATTTTTTTTTCCGTTTGGTTTTTCTTTTTTTTTTTTTCAGAAAAATGTTTTAGCATATTTTTGCATAAAGTAAATCAAAAGATGGTTATCTGAATTTGAGGCAGTTTGGCACCCCATAAACCACTTTCCTTATTAATGTTTTTGATACTGTAATGTGTTTTGAACATTTCCATGGTGGTGAAGGTTGGGAATTGGAGACCATTTTGCTTCTGTCTCTCTACAGCTCTAATCCTGAAACTTCATGACCATTGTAAATACTGAAGTTCTCTGTGCATGAGATTACATTGCAAGGCTTGTTAGATAAGATATGTGACATCTTGGTGAACATGACTATTTCCTTTGCAAACAAAAATCAATATTATGATTCTATGATACAAAAACTTCTGGCATTGTGTGCCATTGTTTAATACTGCAGTTTTATTAAACTATTCTTGGATCCATTTGGTATCAGAAATAATTTATGAGAATAAGGCAGATGAAAATGTCATTATTAGTATTCTTTTAGATGGCAACAGTCTGTGTATAAATAGGCAATGAACTATTAATGTTACTAAAAGTCATGTTAAATTGAGTGACAAAAATGGGGTTTAGGCTATACTATATTAAATTTTCATATAATATGGAGAGAGTGTTGGTCTCTTGGGATTGATGCCAATCAGCTCACCTCCTAATTATGTACAGTCCTACAACTTCTCTCCACTACTGTTGGTTCAGTAAAGCTAATTATGGTTCATGTGCCACACACAAATGAATTATTGTGATTCCCACATCCCACTGATAACTACTCCAGAAGACATTCGGTTACTTACAGTAAGTTGGTATATACCACGTAGTATTCTTTAATAGTGAAAGTAAGTGAAATATGCAAAGTAAATGTGGTATTCACATGTAACGACTTAAAAACACACAGTGCTGGTTGTGAATTTGTATTCACACATAACAACTTAAAAACACACAGTGCTGGTTGTGAATTTACCACTGACTGAAAGAAATACATAATCTATGTCTTGGTGCAGGCATTCATCCAGATGATCTTGTTTTTCAAAACTTTCAGAAAGCTTATAAAAATACTATTTCTTCAAACTACATTTTTCTTTAAGTTGCAAAATTTTACCACTGACTGAAAGAAATACATAATCTATGTCTTGGTGCAGGCATTCATCCAGATGATCTTGTTTTTCAAAACTTTCAGAAAGCTTATAAAAATACTATTTCTTCAAACTACATTTTTCTTTAAGTTGCAAAATGCTGTATGTGGTCGTACAGAATACATAATATTTCTCAGTTGTTTAGGCAATTGCATGAATCAAAGTTAATCTTAGAGTTATGTCTGTTACAAAATAAATGTAAATAGGAATTTAAGATATATGAGTAGATTCCCAAAAGAAGCCACCTAGATATTACAGAGACAGTGCACTAAAATGTTTATGAGACATTTTTGAAGATTATTTGACAAGTTATTTGCTTTTATATAGCAAATTAATTGGCAAACTAGGAGTTTCTTTCATCAAAACCCTAATTGAACGTTGTAGGATTTTGATCCCTATCATCTTCTTTTGGATGAAAGAGTGAAACTGCATTTCATCTTCATGCCAAAAACTTCACGTATTTTGTCTGTGTGTCCTACTGCCAAAAATTACTTCGTATGTCCTATGGTCACCATAAAGTATTCTCCTTTAATCTGCTAACTTCTGTGCAAAACATTTGAAAAAATATGTGAGAGTTGTATAAGCTTTTTTCAAGTTCTATCACTTATAGAATTAAGAATGAAAAATCTGTAAATTATTATTCTTAATTTTTTAAGAGAGAGAGATTCTACATAAAGAATCTTCAGAAAATAGTGACTTTCAAGTACATTGTTTCCCCCAAGAATTTTCATTATTATTTTTCTTACTTGTTTTGTATGTCTTACCAGGTGCACTTTAATGTATTCCCAGCAGTTTGTTTATTTTAGATTTTTTAATTTAGAATTATTTTAAATACTCTCATTGATATAGGGACTATGTGCATTGTTTTGGTGTATCCAAGAATTGGATTAGAGATAGTAAATAGCTAAGTGGATGCACATTCACTGTAAACTGAGAGTGGAGAAACCCAGAACAAGATCAAAAAAATGTACTTCTTGCTCTCTAGATATTATTGTTGTGGTTTTGAAACATTTACACATGAGATGCTGAGAGTGTGCTGCCACCTTGTCATTCTTGGCACTTTGTCAAACAACACTTTTCAACATAGGTAAATGAAACAGGGAAATTTTCTTGGGATTATTATGTTAGGGAAGAGTCTAAGGAAAGCTAGGATGCTACTCTGTAATAGGCAGAGGAAAAGAAGACAATATTCTCGTAAATCCAGCTGAGGATTGCACTGAAGAAGGAAGAGGTCAAAATAGGGATTTTTTTTTCCGTTTGGTTTTTCTTTTTTTTTTTTTCAGAAAAATGTTTTAGCATATTTTTGCATAAAGTAAATCAAAAGATGGTTATCTGAATTTGAGGCAGTTTGGCACCCCATAAACCACTTTCCTTATTAATGTTTTTGATACTGTAATGTGTTTTGAACATTTCCATGGTGGTGAAGGTTGGGAATTGGAGACCATTTTGCTTCTGTCTCTCTACAGCTCTAATCCTGAAACTTCATGACCATTGTAAATACTGAAGTTCTCTGTGCATGAGATTACATTGCAAGGCTTGTTAGATAAGATATGTGACATCTTGGTGAACATGACTATTTCCTTTGCAAACAAAAATCAATATTATGATTCTATGATACAAAAACTTCTGGCATTGTGTGCCATTGTTTAATACTGCAGTTTTATTAAACTATTCTTGGATCCATTTGGTATCAGAAATAATTTATGAGAATAAGGCAGATGAAAATGTCATTATTAGTATTCTTTTAGATGGCAACAGTCTGTGTATAAATAGGCAATGAACTATTAATGTTACTAAAAGTCATGTTAAATTGAGTGACAAAAATGGGGTTTAGGCTATACTATATTAAATTTTCATATAACTGTCAGCAGTTTGGCATATTTATCAGCCTACATTAGCAACGAATAGAATAATCTTTTCTACAAACTAGGGAAATATCATTGCCCCATCATTTTAAAAAATAGAGGAGTATTTATAATAAAAATTGATTTCAGACCTCTAGATCTCTGTTCTATCACTCTTTTATTTTAACATTTTTATTGAAACACTGATTCAGATGAAGGATTATGTGAAACCACCTGGCTTGGGGGCAGAAATTTAAATACAGGTGTATACATGGGGAAAAACAAAAGGAGTCTGTGCTAACATCTGAGTTCAACATCTTTGATTTAATGTTTAGATCACAGGGGACAGATATGAATAACCAGGCTGATGCATATTAAACTAGTTGGAGCTATTTTTAAGTCAGTGGTTTTGTTCCTGCTGTACTCATTAGAGGAAAAGACTAACAGATCTCATGGCCTTTAGGATGATTTGCAAAACACTTTAAATTAGCATAGCTTAAAATAGAAAATATTGACAGGAATTACAGGAAGGGTTTCATATAAGAAGAGTAAGAAGTAAATGAAGGAAAAAGAACAAATAAATAATTCTGCGTGAATCAGTTGAAAAAATGAGAGCACTTCACTTGCATTGAAAATTTTTCCGACTAATATGGTATTAAATGATTACATAGTATTAAAACAAAGGCAGACCAGGAGAAAATTAAAATTGTGGGATTTGTGGGATATTTAATCTACCTTACTTTATTGAGACAGACAACTAGATAGACAATTTTTTTGTTGTTGTTTCTTCTCTATATGTAAGAAGTTTCTTACTTAGCATCTTGGGAGACAGGAAGAAGAAAAGTGTTAAACTGTCTGGTTTGCTTAACTTTAAGAAAATCCTAGAGGCAGAATGAAAGCAAAGGGGAAGAGGGTGGGGGAAAAATAATGTTTTGTAAGAGAAAAACAAGAATGAGAATAGATTATTAAGAAGCGAGAAAGGAGATGGCTAGTTGGACACGTCAAGTCTTTTACTTAAAGAGAAGATTACAAATCAGATATAAAAACAAGGTCAGGAAATGGAAAAACATTTATGGGATCTAGAAGTTTGTTTTAAAGAAGATAAGCCATATGAAAAAGGCCAGAGGATAGCGGAAATGTTTAATAAACAGTGGAATTGTAACAAAGTTATAAATCCTTTAGACATAAGATTTAGATAAGGAAAAAGATTGGAAAACATAAAATGAAGAATCACAGGAGGAAAAATGCATCAGTGTTTAAACACAATTTTAAAGCCCTTTAAAAAGAAGCTGTAGACTAGGAGTTCATTTTGTGCAAATGTTCGTCCCGAGGTGCTCATTGCTTTTTAGACATTGAATATTGACTTTACAGGCATCTTTGGTCTGATGCAAGGCAGCAATTATTAGCGTCTAGAGAAATGTAGCTGGGCTCATGCATTAAAACTTGCTACTGTTATGATCAGTGTATCAATCTTTAAATTGCTGCTTATTGTTTTAATGTTTGTTTATTTTTATCATAAAATAGCTTTCTTTGCTTTGACTAGGGAGGCCTACCTGCAACTGTGCCCTGGGTTTCACGGGACCAAACTGCAACCAGACAGTCTGCCATCATTTCTGCCAAAACGGAGGAACCTGCAGCGTCACTGCTGGGAATCAACCCTTCTGCAGCTGCTTGCCTGAGTATACAGGAGACAGATGTCAGTATTGTAAGTAGTCTTCACAACATCTTAACTCGTGCTAAATCTGGGTTTATAATAGAAGTTCTATAATGTGGAAGTTTAACATGACTTGAGTGATTTTTCTATGACGCACCTTGATAAACTTAGTTCCAAAATTATTTATACTGCTAAGGGAGTGGAATCTGAATATTCAAGTCATCTTTGAACATATTTCTGCAATATCCAACTATCATGTGTAGGTAAAGGAAGAGCTTTTTTAGGAATTGTTTATTTTAGTATTTTCATGAATGAATACATACAACGGAACTGTACAAGACAGCTGAGTGTCAGTAGAAATGAGGTAATTATGTAACAATTTTCTACTCCAGTTTCTCATATTTGTTATGCTGGTGGAATGCCTAGACATAGTGAATTGGCATAGCTGGTTTGAATTTGTCTGGTATCCCATATCCTTGCAGACTAACACATGTGTCTTGAACTGCTGCCTTTCCTTTCATTTTTATTTCTAACCCCAGTAAGCAGTATATGGACAACTGCTTTGAGTGCCTTGCCTCTGTATTCCTTCATCTTCCTCAGTCTAAGATCACCTTGATTATGGTTTCTGCCCCCTCCTAGTATTGAAAATCAGGATCTCTAAGTATTACTCTTGTTTAATTCTCAGGACTTCTCTTCTATCCTCTGCATCTCAAATTCTCCATAGTTTATCATTCCACTGACCCGTCAGTTTCTTCTCTTTGAAATACTGTTTTCTAAAGGTTTCCATGGCTTTAGAAAGGCTCTTGCACTTTCTAGAACTTTCTCTAATCTTTTACTTATTTTATAGAGCAGAGGGGAAAGAAGATTATCAACCAATAGATCTTCTTTTTACCTTTTACCTTTAACCTTTCTTTTCTCTTGATGCTTTATGGGTCATCATTATTTGTTTTCCAGTGACTCAAGACATTTGAATATAATTTTTAATTTCTTCCTTTGGTCACTCATTTCAAAATTGGAATGTGTCTTCCTTATGTCACTTCAACGTGATGACTCATTAGCAACCTAAAACTGATTATTTTTCTGAGACCACAATTATTTTTTTAAATCTTTTTTTCTGCTCCTGGTTTGCTTTAAGACTCTAAAATAGGGGACTGTTGTAGTGCTTGTTATAGAAGAGAACATTAAATGTGAAAGCCATCATCTCTTGTATGTAATTCAGTGAATTTGCTGAAGAAGGCTAGATTTAAAGAAAATGGAAGGGAAATTAGCTGCTATAAAGGTCTGGTTTAGAATTATCTACAAGATACGAAAAGTATTTAGTTTTAGTGAAAGGTCTGTCAAACAAGGAAAGGGTTAGTGTGTATGTTAAATAGGATTTGTACTGAAGTAAACTGAATGTATTTCCAGTTGGGAGACTATGAAATAAATTGAAACCTTTGAATGGAAAACCAGCAGTAATTGTGATTCTCTCCCACTTGGTATTAAACAAACTGCATGGATCCACAAATAACTATCTGCAAACACAATTGGGTATTTGAAAACAGTATAGTACATAAATCATGCACAGACAGACACACAGATTAAGAAAAAATATTTACTTGAGGCTTACCCAAAAACCAAACAAATTGTTTCTACTTGAATGCTTCTGCAAACATCCTTTTTTTTAAATGTAAATTTAGGGGTACTTTTTAAACAGTGCTTATTATCAGATTTGGATTGTCTGCTGACACTTTGGAAAAATGCCACAGTACGGAGACTCAAACACATTATAAAATACAAAATAAAATTAAGCTTTTGTTTATTTAAACCTTAATACTTTTAGGAAAAATAAGTCTTGCAATCTTTTCCAGTATTTTTTTTGTGGCCCATAACAGTTCTATGAAATTGTACAGGTTTACAGTTAATAATGTGTATACAAATTCACATCTATTATTGTTTGCTTTATTCACATGTATGTATGATTTTTCACTTTATTAATCACATTCACTTTGTATGCATGTTGGAATGTATTAAAACAGCATTATTGCAAAGATTGGTTGCCTCTAAGATATCTTTTTCTGTCGTTCTATGATATGATTGAAACTAGTTCATATGCAAAGGATGATACATGAATGTGTATAGGTATTTTACTCATGCTCCCAAGCTGAAAATATTATTAGTGTTTTTTATGGCAGGGAGAAGACATCTACTTGCAGTATTGCCAGATTGCAAAGACCTTATTTTCCTCATACTTATTGTCTCCAATTACCCAATGCAGAGTTTCTCCTGTGATTAGTTCACATAAGGGCTAATAACCAAAATGTGTGCTCCGTGTCAAGGCACTGGCACTGCTGAAATAAATTTAAGTGAATGAATTTACATAGAATTCTACTAACATTGTGCATGTTATTATATACACATGTATTTGATGTATTTGAATATAACTCCCTATTTTAAATTCCTGAAATAAGACATACGGACTAGTTAAAGTTCATTTCTTGTATCATTTAAGGCCCAAACAACCTAAAAAATAGAAAACGTTTTCATGCAGTTACAATCATTCAAAGTGAAGAAGGTGATCTCACAAGCTGTTACTTTCCCTGAAACTAAAAGTCCTTTCTTTAGAAAAAAAAAAAAAAAACCCACAAGAATTTTTTTGTGTCATTTCTGTCCAAATGTAGCATACATATTTTAGATATAGCAGAAGATTAAAGGTGTTTGTGACTACAATCAATACTTAAAAATACTTGGTTTAGAGTATGAACTTCCTATACATAGATTTTGGGATTTTTTTTTTGTCCTAATGTATGTGGAAACGTTTCCCCCTTGCAATGTTTTTTTCATAAAATGTCTCTCAATATTAGCTTTCAACCTACTGTAGTTTTTGTTCAAAAAACTAGCCCCCCTGCTGCAAATTACCATTCTGTACCTTGAATTGGGGAACAGCAAACAATGAACTACTTCATTTAGTGTCTTTTAAGCCTCTCTGGTTGCTCAGTAGTGATTCCAGGTAGATGAGTCTACAGCCTGCATAGACAGCTGGAGACATACAATGAATAATCAAACAGAAATAAATCCTCCAACAGCCAAGCTTTGTCCTTTAGCACAAGTTTTCCAGACATTGATATTCTGGAGTGAGTCCAGAGAAGGAAAACGAACCTGGTGAGGGGTCTGGAGCTCATGAGGAGCAGCTGAGGGAACTGGGGTTGTTCAGCCTGGAGGAAAGAAGACTGATAAGAGACTGTATCACTCTCTATAACTACCTGAAAGGAAGTTGTAGAGAGGTGGAGGTCAGTCTCTTCTCCCAAGTAACTAGTTGTAACAAGTGGAAATGACCTCAAGTTGCACTAGGGGAAGCTTATATTGGTTATTAGGAAAATTATCCTCACTGAAAGGGTTATCAAACATTGGACCAGACTGCCCAGGGATGTGGTGGAATTGCCATCCCTGGAGGTGCTTAAAAGGCAGGTAGATGTGGTGCTGAGGGACATGGTTGGGTGGTGGTTTTTCCAGTGTTTGATCAATGGTTGCGGTCCATGATCTTAAAAGCCCCTTCCAACCAATTTGATTCTATGATTCTATGGTGAGTACCAATGGTATGGCAGTCAGGATGTTCTTCTTTGAGAGGGGGGAAAACTGAGCACAGAGATGCATAAGCAAAACGTTTTCATATCATGAGACATGCTCATGATTAATCCATCTTGAGTACACTCAGTAAAATATATCAATTTTTTAGTCATCACCAATTTGCTGCTTATAACGTGCCCCCAGTCAAACGGCAGCTTGAGAGTTTCCCCTGCCGTGCTCAAGGCTGAGGTTGCCATTTGGCCAAGCTTTTGTTCTGTAGTGAGCAGCCTGATAATGCCCTGCTTCTAGCTGCTGCTGACTCACCCTCAGCCGCATCTTGTGCTATAAAGGACATGAGTTTTTTAGTTTTGATAGAGAGGTAATATTTTATTTATCTGTACCAGTTTAAGCTAATAAAGATGCATAGTTAGGAATTGATACATATGATATATCAATTACTTCATCTGTCCATCAAGAACACCACCAAAAGCTCAACACAGCATGTTAACTACACAGAACTGGAGAAAGTGTTAGAAACAGGGAAAAATAGAGACTTTGAATGATTAGGCTCCATTAAGGAGCTTAAATGATGACTTATATCTGTACCAGTTTAAGCTAATAAAGATGCATAGTTAGGAATTGCATCTGTACCAGTTTAACTCTAAGCTAATAAAGATGCATAGTTAGGAATTGATACATATGATATATCAATTACTTCATCTGTCCATCAAGAACACCACCAAAAGCTCAACACAGCATGTTAACTACACAGAACTGGAGAAAGTGTTAGAAACAGGGAAAAATAGAGACTTTGAATGATTAGGCTCCATTAAGGAGCTTAAATGATGACTCAAACAAAAAACCAACCCAAACAAGCAAACAGACAAACAAACCCCACCAAAACAAAGCTGTTGCTAAACAAAAAAACAACCAAACAAGCAAACAGGCAAACAAACCCCACCAAAACAAAGCTGTTGCTACAACATAAATAAAAATGAACCTAAATGTTAAGATACCACTGTCTTGTATCTCTGGAAGCTCCTTCAGTCAGGCAGCTTGGTTTTTTTAAGCGGATATAAAAATATGAGACAGTTACTGATGCTTCTAAAGAGTTAAAGAATTCACTACTTGAAATCTCAGTCCTGCTGACAGTTAAGCAGTTAAATAAGATAATGGGGTCTTGCACAGTCCATAAAGATAAGCATGTATGTAGGTTTTTTGTAAAACTTATGGATTATGTCCTTATGTATTATTATTAGAGCTTCATGAAATTTTAATATGTGGATGAATGAAAATACAACTTAATTATTTCAAAATACTGTTTCCATTTCAGTTTAGCATAATGCTGTTGATGCTAATGTGAATGTATCAAAAGATTTTTATTCAGCCAATGTCCCATTAAATACATCAACATTACTCTGGTTTTCTCATCAGTGCTCTTTATATTGTGTGGGATAATGCTGTAAGTGGTTAGACACCTAGAAGAAGAAATAAAATCTCTTATCAGTTTATCCTCCTATTTCACTTCTCAAGACCATATCATTAATATGTTATTTATCTCTTTATGGGATATTCTTGATTCTTGTCGTTGCTAGTGAGTCACCAGCTTCATTTATAATTTTGTTTTTATTATAGTACCTTTCAAAATATAGAAAAGTAAGGTATTTTTATATGATGCTCCTTAATCCCTTTTAGTAATTAGCTTTCATGTTGCTTGCAGATGTTTGCCACCATTATTGTGTGAATTCTGAATCCTGTACTATTTCTGACGATGGAAGTGTAGAATGTGTCTGTCCAGTACGATTTGAAGGTCCAAAATGTGAAGTGGACAAGTGTATCAGATGTCATGGGGGACACTGCATAATAAACAAGGACAGTAACGACATAGTATGCAAGTAAGTGTGTGTAGGGGAGTGGCTGTATTCAAACTCATAGATTTAATAGTGATTATATTGGATTACCCTTTAAATTTCTTCCACAGTGTCTAGCCTTGAACAGGTCGCATCAGAACAGTTCCTTTGTGTGGCTCCTGCATTTTTGAACCAACTTTTGGAAAGCTCCTCACTGGGGGAAACATAATGTAGCAGGAGACTGAATGGATCTTCACTTGGAAAAATTGAAATATTTAATAAAACTAACAGTTGGGTTTTACCACACTGTTGAAATTTGTTCATTCTGCAGTATCTGTGACAATCAGAGAGATGTATTGTATACCGATGAAAGCATATGTAGTAAGATGTGCTGCTATATTGCTCAGTGATTGCTTTGTATAATAATGATTTATTTTCATAAGTAAAAGAAAGATTAATAATATTTCATGTAATAAGCTCACTACCTGTGCTAGCTTTTCAAAGTGGAAACCTAGAATTCTTGCAATCAGTAGATCTTACACATATCATAAAACCAATATTTTAATATGAAGGTAATTATAAGGGAATTCACCACATTTAATAAAATATTGATTGCTATTTGTATTTCTTTTTTAATCATGGCAGTTGCACTAATGGAAAGATTGCCTCTACCTGTCAGTTATGTGATGGCTACTGCTACAATGGTGGTACATGTCAGCTGGACCCAGAGACAAACATACCTGTCTGTCTGTGAGTATCCTGCATTGCGTAGATCATTAAAATATCTGTGTGCCAACCAACAGCAAAGTTATTATGTGTGTATCTGTATTTTTGATCTCTTCAGGATGTATAATGTGCTGCTTGCACATTATACAGTCATAACTTACAGTGCTTCTTCTAGCCATTTCTGTGACCCAATACTTTGTCTGCCTTTTTGCCATACGTGTATTGAAAAATATGACTAAGATATATGTTGTGAATGCATATAGATACAAAGGTGTATCTTTTGAGACTTCTAATAGTTTCAGGCCAGATCTAGAGCCCATTTAGGCATTTGTTCTGGAAGGAAATCGGGAGGTACAGGATGGTTGCCTGCCCTCCTTATCAAAGGTGGATTTTGTCCTACAAGAACAGTGAGAGGTGGGGTGGTACACTCCTGTAAGGATCCCCATGGCTGGAGAATAGGAAGAATAATGTCAGCATTTATATCCATTATGGGTCTGAGGATATGCTCATGTATCTCTTTTTTTTTTTTTTTTCCCCCTCCTAACCTTCACACTGCCCACAATAGCTTGGCTGTTCTGTGGTGAGATTGCTCCCTCCCTCCTCGACTATTGTTGAGAGAATCATCCAGGATGCTTTTCTGAAGCCCAGATATCAAATACCAAAGGAAATGTGGTTCTGTAGTCTAGACAATGAAGTACTGCCTGAAGAGATAGAAAAGCCTACAACTCTAGTCCTTTCTTGAGAGCTATGGTGTATCTTCTTTTTCAGCTGCTAATTATAAAATAAAGAAGTAGTCATTGTAGCAAGAAAACAGTTTCTTTCCTGCTCTCAGTTACACTGGGCTACCTAGTCATACCCTGGGTTTTTTTTCACTTTTCCTAATAAATGATCTGATCTTTTCTGCACCGCAGAAAAGCTTCACTGTGGATAGTCTCTCATTTATCAGGAAAGTAGGGAGGTCAGAGAATCCTCCAGGAACATGTGAGATGTTGGAAGGGAGAACTGGACTTGAGTGTCTCATTTCCAGGGTGACATATATTGTCCAAAGGGATCTGGCATTACGACATTGTAAATACAGATCCAGCCATCCCTTTGTTTTGTTGACCTGTGTGAGGCAGGTGGTCTTAAAAGAGAGTGCCTGTTGCATTCAGACTCTCCAGGGAGCTCCATAGAGAAATGCCTAGATTTTGTAGTCTAACCAGCGTAAGAGACGGACCAGCCGTTCCTCCCTGTGAGAGCTCAAGCACTTTGGAAGGCGCAAAGGGGCAAAACGGTAGTTGTTGTACTATTGTAGAGGAGTTCTCAATAGATATTTGCAGCTTTGGGGTTAGAGACAGTGAAATGCAGTTCTGCATGGTAGTCCTTATTCAGCTGAAAATGCTATGTCTCTCTTATTTTGATCCAGCTCTTTTTGCCTGTTATTTTTATCTCCTTAAACATCTTTAGTTGAGGCCTGGAGAGACTCATAAATCTCAGCAAAAGGAGCATATCACAGCAATAATATGTAAGACCCAAATATGATGGCTAAGTTTGGTGATTCATTTGCTTAAACGCCTAGACTGGCTACTTAGGAAGCTTGTGATTTTTTCCTTTCTTTTTTCTTATAAAACTGGCTGCTTCTTTTTCAATTTCATATGGAACACCATAGCATCTCAAGGGAAAAAAAAAATAAGTTTCCTGCTTTAATTTGTGTATGGATTTACGATACATAAATGCTGCAGCATATGCCAACACTGTTAACAAAGCTAAAAAATGGTCTTGAACGTTTGTAAGGCCATTGGAATTTGAATCAATCAATACAAATGTATAGTACATTTGACAATAATGCTTCATTAAGAATGTTAGATTCCTGAACCCATCAGTTAGTGCAGGCCTGTTTTTTTAAAGTGTTTGATCAACACCAATTAGCGGACTTTTCAGTGTAGTTGGATTGGACCTTCCTTGAACAAAGAATATTAATTTTGTTACCTGTGGGTGTGTGCCTGTGTATGTGTGCGTGTCTTGCCATCATTATATATAATGCGTGTAAAATCTGTTCAGCAAAAGGCAGAATATTTATATAGGTCTATTTTACTGAAATTCTGCAGATGCTCTGTGGGGTTTAAAAGTCAGCGCTGTGACCAGAAAGTGAACCCTTGTGATTACTACTGTCAGAATGAGGGAATTTGCACTTTAACCGCGTTTAATGAACCGAGATGCAAGTAGGTTTAACCTTCCACTTAATGCTGCACATTCTGTGACATCATTTCAGGCCACAGCTCATTGGTTCAAGTCATGCACATTCACATACATTTCACAATATATACTGGGGGCTCGTTTCTATACTACACACTTACCCTTTGATAGTTGCACTGATGAGTGTATTTAAACATACTTTTGAAGTATCTGTATCATTGGAGGAAGAAATAAAAAACTTTATTTTTTAAGAAGTGAATTGAAAATACCAAAAATGCCACTTTTACTGTTCACACTTTTAGATATTTTACCAAGTTAATCCTACAGAGCATAAAGATTAGCAAACAGTGAGTTTGCTCATGTTCTGTAGTCCAGACCTGACTTCCTACTTCTCATCTGCACGGGGAAAGGAATGAAGAGCTATTTAAGTACTGCTACAGGACTTAAGCTTGTATTCATAAGTCTCATTGTTAACTTTATAGAAATATGCTGTAAAATGGAAAATGTTAAACAAAAATAGGTGAGCAACATCACAACTTTGACTTCTCCTCTGATAAATTAAGCAAAAATAGGTGAGCTACATCACAACTTTGACTTCTCCTCTGATAAAAAAAAAAGTGTAAAACAGATACATTTGTATGCTGTATTTCTTTAAAGGATTTTATGTCTATTTCTTAAAGACAACATCTTAATCCTCATCAGGCAAAGAAACAATCTTAGTCTTTGAAAATGCTGTAAGGCAGATACACAGGAAGATATGATATGCCAGTCAGATGAACATAGCTTTACTCAACAGTTGTGATGCAATAGTCAGAAATGAAATCATGAGCCAAAGACCTAGAGTTGGGTTGAAATATGAAACTTGAACTTTAATCTTATCTTATCTAAATGTGTGGTTTATGAAAACATAATGTGCTGTGGGGATGGGACGTGGTTGTCTGGTGGGTAGCAATGACAGTGACTAGGTATGGTGAATAATCTAGGTTTTTTTAAAAATATGTTCACAATTCCTTTGTCAGCGGTCTCAAGCAATGAAACTTTATGACTTGAGCTATCATAAGTCCATTGGAAATGAGATTAGTGTTCTGACTACCACTTCATAATCTTTGAAGAGTATGGAGTGGGTCTGTTTTGTTTGGGATGTTGTTCCTTGGAACAGTCTCTGTCTCTGCATATCAGACTTAGGTTTTCAAAATAAATCAGCCCTAAGAGCAACTTGTTGCTACCTATGAAGTCATGTATTTTAAGTATCTTTCCTCCTTGTTCTCTAAAATGTTCTTAAGAATGTAACAGTGCAAAATTTCTTGTGAAACATTCTAATGGGTAAAATAGTCTAAAAATAGAGCATTGAGAATCACTTCTGAATTTTATGTACTCTCACAATTCTTAAAAATATTTTAACCATTTAAACTTTTAAAGTTTTGTGGGTTTTTTTTATTTAGTGATGGATTTTTATAGAAAAAATATATAAAAATAACTGTGGAGTTTTTTAATATGAGATTTTATAGTCAATAAAGGTTAATTTCTGTTTCAACTGGAGTCAAAACTAACATATACTGACAGTAGGATTTCAGCAAAGTTAATTGAATTAGGAACATCCTCAGTAGCATTGATATCTATTTTTCTGGAATTGCCTGTTCTCATGATCTTTTGATCTGGTTTGACTGTATTTACTGTCAAAATGAGAAAAAGTATTAAAAGCAAGGATTTTAAATCATGTTTGAATCTCTTACTTAGTCTTTGAATTGATAACATGAATTTTAACCTCTCAGAGCTTCCGTGTGAGGCCAGATGCCAACAATGGCAAGAATTCAGGTTAGAAAAAAAAGGTATCATAGGATCTATAGGCCCAGCAATCCTTTTTTCCTACTTCTCTAACTGCGTAATTGAAAGAAGCGTGGAGACAGATTGCCCGAATAGGAATTTAGCTGAAAAGCTGTGCTGCCAAATGCTTCTTTCGGATAGATGAAGATATTTTTTTCTTCAAGATACACTGCCCAGGACATGCACTAGTCAGAGTTTGGAATCATCTATAGAAAGTAATGAAACAGGCTTCAGAAATCCAAAGAAAAGTATTAGCTTTCTAAGACAAAAGGAGAGTCTTTCTTTCTGAAAGCTATAAACACAGAAAAGTGGAAAACAAAGGCTTGAAGAAGACAGAACAAAAATGAAATGGTGGACTTGTGCAAAAGTGATATTAGTCTCCATTTTCTTTCTTCCAAAAAGTGAAACGCTAATACCCAAAGGACTATTTTGTTGATGAAAGCTGTGGTTCCTCCTTTTGAGAAGGTCATGTTCCACAGAAAAGACAAGAAAGGAATTGCAACATTTTTACATAGTGATTAACTTATTTTGTTTATTTATTATTTATTCTTTCTTACTATTCCCAAGATTGCTTTTATTAGGCACTTGTACTATACAATAGAGTGAACAATCCAAGGTCAGGTTAAAAAAAAAAATAGTAGTAAAGCACATCAGTAATATAATGACTTTTTGCAGAACTGAACTGTCCTTTAGCTTTCATCTTAGCAGGGTTATCTGAATATAGTTTTGGAATATTTTTTTATTAAATGTATGTGTCCTGGTTTCAGCTGGGATAGAGTTAATTTTCTTCCTAGTAGCTGATATAATGCTATGTTTTGGATTTACTATGAGAATAATGTTGATAAGGAAAGGTGGAAATGTGGAAGAAAAGAAGGGGGTAGAGAAATATTAAATTCAAGTTTCTCTTCAGTGTGAGGAAACATTCCAGGTGAATTGGTAATCAGAAACTGAAGTTTAAATCAAACTTTAGTAGAAAATTCACATTCAGAATATAAGCAGAAACAGAATTAGTGTTCCTGTTGCCTCCTTAGACTGATTGCTGGGTTAGTACGGCCACTGTTGTCTGTGTCTAGGAACTGTTAAGAGAATCCTCTAAATTGTATCTTTCTTTATGAAGACAAGGTGGCTTAGAGGAAGAGAAGCAAATAGTTGTTTGATGGAGTGGAAGACAGTTACAGTGCTAGAGAGGAAGAAGCATAACTCCGTATATCTCAGTTCTCCTTGCCAACCTCAGTTCAAGCTCCAGTTGTTCCCAATACCTTGTGTTTTTCTGGTATCAAATTAGTTCTTCAGCAGAGCTTGTTTATAATTATATCAACCGGACACAGGCGTAGAGAACATCAGGAAGGAATGAAGTAATCCCATGCTTCACGAGGGTCATTGTGTTGGGGAAGAGGAGCCTCAAAGATTTGCTCTGTAAGTTCTGCTCCATTGTTGGGGAAATGGTTTATCCCTCCAACCAGCACATGTGGCTGTGCTATGTGACATCTGTCTCTGAGAAACACATACCTAAGGGCTGATGTTTTTCTTAACCAGTCTCTGAGTCCTGGCTTTTAGAAGAAAGAGGAAATGTCTGGGTTTATTGTCATTCAGCAGGAGCTCCTCTCTCTCTCACAGCCTGATCAGTTGAGAATGCAAACTTTATACGTAATCAAGCCCTTATTATCATTCTGTAAAGACAATAGAGAATAAGACTTATCTGTTCTAAAGGGCAATCCTGAAGCCATAATTATGCAGAGGCACTATAAGCCTATAAGAACATACTCTTCTTTTACCAACCTGTACTGTTAGGGTACATTTTTATTTTATCTTCCTATCTGAACATTTTTTTTAAACTTGAATGCATTAAATATTGGGTGCATATTGGAAATAGAAGTTGTGCTTTCATCTAACCAATTTAGGAATTAATTAAGGCCTTACTGTGGCTGCATACGTGCCACCAAAAAAGTTGGCCTCCAGTTTCAATGAATACTCTGTCAGGTTTTAAAAGTTACCGAATATACTGTGATTCCTTTTTGGATATAAGGTCCTACACAACTAGATAAATAATTCTTAGCATTATTTTTATGCATATGAAGAACCCTCTCCCCCTCCTTGTTGTTCATCTTGCTTAATAGCAAAGGCTGTGAGAGGATTTAGTATCAGAATGTTAAAATTTGAGGTACTGACCTTTTCTAAAAAATGTACCACTGGGGGAGGTCTTTTAAAGAATTATTATCTTACATATAGTTACTGTCTTTTCAGCATTTGCATACTAAGTTTTACCTGGATATCTTTAGTACTACTCACTAATGGGTTGGGGGGCTGTGATGTGTATAATGCTAGAAGCACATGAGAGATGTCTGAATTGCTCCAGTAACTTCCCAAACCTGTTGAAAACAGAATGAACAGGAGATCAGATTCAGATGGGAAATAATCAAGCAATGCTTTTTCTATGAGTTTCACAAACTGTCAGTTCCATCTGTTCTGTCAGTCTGTCTTTTATTTTAATAATTACCTTTATTTGCCTTTCTGTTTCCTACTCGCTAATCATCTAACTGCATAAACATTCCTGCAAGAAAAGCAAGGTTTAGGGAGAGATTATGCCTTGTATGATACCAATGAAGAGTTGGAAAAAATTGGTTGTTGCATAAGGAAAGCTGTATCAATTTCTTTAGTACAGAATATTGCTCCCTCTCACCTGTTTCTTTTATACCTTAACCCTAACAATACTTTGTTATAATTCCATCTTTTTCTTCATGTTACTATAATTATTTGCATCTGCACATAGATGTGGTCTATTATATTATTATTATTATTAGCATCTGCAAATAAATATGATTAAAGCATAACCATCTTATACTAGGCATCCTAGAAATATAATGAAGGATAGTTTCTCTTATAAGTTCAAGATACAGAGATAAACAATCAAAACCAGTAGAAGGTACAAATCATACTGATTCCTATCCTAAAGCCAACTAAATTTAAAGAGAACTTTTAAGTCCTCTGATAAACTTTTAAGCAATGCTGCATGACTGTTTATGAGTACTTTAAGGTGAAACGTAAGATTATATTCTGGTGGCTAATTAAGGGGTTAGTAGTTTATTCCTTCTTAGGTTACTTTCTGCATAGTGTGTGCAATTCTGTGTGTCTACAGCTCAGAGCTTCTGCTTCCAAGGTGTCATCAGAAACAGACAGAGGAATTCAGAGGACAAAGAACAGC